GAATAAAACAGGTGGAGATGTAATGTAATATCGTAGTGATAAGAGCTATGAAAAAGGCTCAAGCATTTTAGGAAAGAGAGCTTGCTGGAACTGCTGGTCTGGGATGAACTAGGAGAGCTTGAGAAGTGGCACTAAAAGGCAAGAGTTGCCCAGACCGAGGAGCTAGCAAGGGCGAGAGGTCTTCCTATGCCATGAACTCTGCTCCCTCCTTGGCAAAGAGTTTCAACAATATACACTGTGTGGAAATCTGCTCCACACATTTATAGATCCTGACACATATGAAAAAGCCCCTGCCATATGCTATAGGTAGGGGGTAGGGTCATAATTCTTTTTTTTTTTTTTTTTTATAAAATTAAGATCATTTGCATTCTTTGCTCTATAACCGACTCTTTCATTTGCGTGTTTATCACATTTGGGGTTTGTTTTGTTTTGTTTTGTTTTCTTCTTTTACGTTCGTGAATATTTTGGAAAGGACTAGCTTTCCTCTCCTTTACTCTGCCTCAGGCATGTTACTCAATGGCAGACCAGCCTTGTCTGACCGCCTGGTGGGGCCTCGCAAGGCCTACTCTGCCTGGCCCTGTGCCCATTCTTTCTTCCTTTTCAGACTCAGGTCCGATGTCTCTGCTGGCAGGGCGGGAAACCATCTGATTGAGGTTTGCATGGTTTCCATGAGTAGCAATAAGACTATCAACACTGTGGCTTCTTTTCTTCCTGTGACATTTTCACAGCACACCAGCCTCAACGGTCACCTTTAAGAGCGATGTGGCAGCCTGCCCCTACAGACAAACTTAGACCACATGGGGCCCACGTGATGAAGTCCAGGCCTTCAAGGAGAGAGTCCCCTCTGCCTGGGCCAGACCAAACCAGATAAGACCAGATCTTGTCTCCAGAGAGCTCTTAGGACCAGCTCACTTCACAGGAGGGACATTATCAGACTGGGCAAGCCTATGAGGAAACAACCAACTCAGGTAAAAAAGAGCCAAGAACTACGATTATATTTATAATGGCAGGTAGCGTTAGGCTGAGGGGATGAGGGGTGAGGAGCAGGGAGGGGTGTATATGAAATTATCTTTTATCTTATGATCTAATTGTCCGTAACTATCTTCCCTTTCACAGATATGAATGAACACTCACCATGAGCTAAACATGAGCCACTAGCTCCATCTGACTATTTAAATTTAAAGTAATTAAATTAATTAATCAATTAATTATAATAAATACACTTTAGGCCCACCTGGTTGCTAAGGTGACTTGATCCCATATGACCAATCACATGGTTCAAGCCCCAGACACTGTGGCTTGAAAAACATGCTGGGATCATGTGAACACGTGCCCAAAATCCCAAAAGGTGGGAGAGATGGAGGAGAAGGAATTGTGGCGTGACCATTCATGCCAAGGGAGGGAGGGTACTTTCTCTTCCTCTCTCTCCGTGGGAGGGAGGGTACTTTCTCTTCCTCTCTCTCTGTTTCTCTGAGTCTCTCTCTCTCTCTCTCAGCAAGCGCACATGCCCTCTAGTAAAAAGAAATGAATAAGTAACTGAAAATAAATAACATTAAAAATTCAATTGCACTAGCCACATTTCAAGTGCTCAATAGCTACACAGGGCTAGTGGTTGGTGTCCTGTGCAGTGCAGATGTGGACCACTTCCATCATGATTGAAAGTTCTACTGGGTCAGACACCACAGTAGAAGTGTAAATAAGGCCAGTCATTGCCTTTGTGGGGCTCACAGTTAAGGAAGAGAGATGCATGAGTAAAAAGGTGTACTATGTTGAGGAAAGTGTGGGGGCTTGGCAAGCCCAGACGAAGGATGACTAAACCAGTCTGAAAGAGGAGAGGAATGGCTAGAGAAAGATGGTCTCTAAGCTGAAGAGAAAAAGTTAGCCAGACAAAGATGGGAGGTGGTGGTAGAGGGTGTGTAAGGGAAATGCTCTGGGCAGAGGGAACACCATGTGCAAAGATTCAAAGGGGACAGCTAGCAGGGAGTCTAGAAGCTGCACGTAACTTATATCATTGAAGTACATGGTGTGGGTGGCAGAGTTGGAAGATGAGGCTGAAGAAGCACATACCAGGGCTGGATGGTGGCGCAAGTAATGTAAGGCTGGCCCAGATGAAAGGGTTCTGGGTTGCATCCAGACACCTCATAAACATGCCGAGGGCACACTTGCCCATGAGCTGGTCAAGGCTCAGAATGGATCATGGCATAGAAGACTATTAGAACTGTCTCTTTCTCAGAAGAAGGAAAGAAGCTTAAAAAGGTAAGAGAGAGGGGGCAGCAGGTGGCCTAGAGGTTAAGGTGCTAGATTCCCACATGGCCCACCTGGTTTGAGTCCCAGGCCCGGAGGCTTGAAACACACCAGGCGCCATGTGCACGTGTGCCCAAAATCCCGAGAGGAGAATGGAGGAGAAGGGATTGTGTCAAGGCCATCCTCCCTAGGGAGTGATTTCTCACTTTCTCTCTCTTTCTCTGTCTCTCTGGCAAGTGCACGCACCCTATTGCAAAAATCTCTCTTAAGAAAAAGTTGAGAGAGAACTATCAAGACTTACAGATCTAACAAAGGAATTTAGACTTCACCTTGGATATCAGTTATCTGTTGAATGACGGACCACCCCAAAGCTTAGTAACTTAAAATGACAACTATTGGGCCAGCAGGTGGTATAATGGTTAAGGTGCTAGACTCCCACATGACCAACTGTGGTATGAGTCCCAGACCTGAAAATCACACTGGGTATGTGTACATGTGTGCCCCAAGTCCCAAGAGGAGAATGGAAGACAAGGGCCATTCCCCTGGGGAGTGATTTCTCAGTTTCTCTCTTTCTGTCTCTGTCTCTCCAGCAAGTGCACATGCCCTACCACAAAAATCTTCCTAAAAATACAAAATGATAACTAATTATTTGCTTGCAATCTTATGCATTAGCAACTTGGGCTGGGTTCAGCCTAGCTACTCTTCTCATGGTTAACCGTGGTTAAAGTTTCTTTTTTTTTTTAAGGTTCTCTCCTTGCCTGTTATGTGTGAGAGAGAGGCAATATCCCTGCCAACACACACAGAATCTTATGCTACAGGCCACCCCCAGCTTCAGTCAACTCTGAATAATGGACCCATGTGTGCCTAGTATACTCTGGGAAGTCTCCAGGTATGAACCCAGAACCTTCTCAAGTGGGTCAGTCTCAGAACATTGTGTTTTATCACTATGCTACTGTCCAGCCTCCTGGTTACAGTTCTTTGATGCCTAACTATGGCTGGATAGTTCACTCACAAGTATGGCATCCTGGTCTTCCTCCCATAGCGGCAGGTTTCAAGGGGATGAAATCAGAAACTGCAAGGCTTTTTGAGGCTTAACTCAGAGGTCCCAATGTCACTTCCACCACATTCTATTGGCCAAAACAAGTGACAAGGCCTGCCCTGAGGGGAGAAGATCCAAACAACGTGTGGTTATTTAAAGTCTTTCACACCCTACGATGAGGCTGGCCTGAACCAAGGTGGTAGGTAGAGAGAAGGAGGCAGATTTTTATTTTTAGAACATTTGGGAGGCATAATTGAGATGTCTTGGGGATTGTTCTCAAGGAAAAGAGACAGAAGTGACAAATGGTTCCTCGATCCTTGGCTTGGGTGGGTGATTGATGAAGGGTAGTGCCCAACACTCAAAGAGAAAGAGGAAGAACAGGTTTGGGGTGGAGGGAAAGATGAAGTTTCCTGTGTGAGTAACGTCAAGGATGAGGTGTCTTTTAGACAGCCAGGAGATGGGCAGGAGGAAAGAGAATATGCAGGCTGGGCTCGGGAAAGGTCTGGCTACAGAAACCAGTTTTGGGAGTCTCAGATGCTTTAAGCCTAAAGCATCTTGGGAGCAGGGGCTGCATCCCTAGAATAGGAGCATCTTTAGGACAACAATCTATTATTATAACTCAATTCTGTAGCTGCAGCAAGCCTGACCCATAGCCCCAGGGGAAAGCAATAAACCTATCCTAGTTGTGGTTTTGCCAGGCTGTTATGAGAAAAGGGATTAAATTTGTAGAGAAAGCCCTCAGCTGTGAACTAATTATCTGTGTTACAAGTGGAATAGGACCCATCCCAGCTTCTGCCAGAGGAAATCTCCCAACAGCAGACTACCAACTCAGAAAATGAGTACGTCGTCAAGGAGGGAGCACCAGTCCAGATCAGGGATGCTCTGGAGGAAATTTCTTCCCTGGGTTAGAATATAGACCCAAAGGCTGGCCCAGATATTCTGTGAAGGCAAACTTCTATAACCACCCTGTGTCCCACAGGCACCCAACGCTCAGAAACCCGCAAATCTTCCTCGAAGGCGTTCTGCTGGGAAATGGACACTGCAGGAAGAATCTACTCAGGTGCAGAGAAATGATGGGTAGGGTCCTCTCTGAATGTTTGTGGATTAATTCATTCAACATTCAGCCTCCTATACGCAGGAAGCCCTGAACTGTGCACCGGCGATACAGAGAATAGACTCTAACCTGGAAGCATTGCAACTGCAGTTGTTAAAACTTCACCTTGTAGATACTGTTCATTTCTGGAACTCTCTAACCATTTGAATCTCAAGAAGATACTGAGGGGTCTTGTCGCTTTGATGCTCAGCTGTATATCTGTTTGATGAAGAAAAGCATAAAAGGAATAGGGGAGTGGGACTGGGGACGTGACCAAAAGGAGAGGTCTCTGTCTGGTTGAAAGTAAGACTCGGAAGAAATAAGGCGACGCCTCTATCTGGGCGAATAATAATTTAATAGGTGATATGAATTAAATGCTTTCTCCATGGCTATTACAGTGACATTTCGCTTATGTAGATTCGTCTGGCAGTGTGGTTTTTTGGAGCCACATCTGTCCTCTTCTCTGGACCTCATCAAAGCGTTGTTACTTGAAGAAACGGAGAGGCGCTCTGATTTTCGTCGGTGGGAGACTTCAGGCGAGCGGAACCACAGTTCGACAGCCCGCTAAGGCGCCCGGAGGCTTTTCGCCGGGACTCCCGCCCTAGCAACGTACGCCTCGTTGCTAGGGACGGGGCGCTGGAGGCTGCGGAGGGTGGAGGCTGCACGCCCTCCGGCTCCGCTGCTCCGCGGGCCCCAGCTCCAGCCCTGCCAGCCCTCCGGTGGGTATGGAACTCGAGACGGGAGAGAGGGGCGACATCGGGTGGGTGGACGGGCGGGGAAATGGGAACCCTCGCGCTGTCTGGGCCGCAGCCGCCCACCTGGCTGAAGTGGAGACGGGGTTCACGAGGCCAGCCTTGTGCTGGGTGGCGCTAGGTTCCCGTCTTGGGGAAATCCACATCAAAAACAAGCTTTAAGGGTCTGCAGAATGGAGAGGAAGAGGGGCATTTATGGTCAGAACAGCCAGAAAGGAGAAACTGCTCACAGTTGTCCCCACAGCTGACTTAGAACTGACTCGTGTGTCTCTGGGCAAGTCCCTCGAATTCTCTCAGCCCCGTTTCTCCCATCTGTACCAGAAGGGTCTAACCAGACCTCCCAGGCGCTTCTGTCTGTGGTTGTGTTTCTGTTTGAGCATTGGTTTAGATGCCTCTTTCTCCCAGAGTGGATTTTGGGCAGAGAGATTTGGGGGCGGGGGGGAGGGGGGGACACAGAAATCAACACCGCCTACCAGTGAACTAGGGAAGTCCTAGACAGTAAGGTCCTGTTCACCGGACTCTGTCCCAGTGACCTTCAGAAAGTTAGAGTGACCACTGGGTACCTCAAGGCCTTTGGAAAGCAGATTGGGGCAGAAATGGGCCCTGGGATTCAGATTTAGGTCTGGCTCCAAGTGGAACCAACAGGGACTTCCGGAGCCATAATGGAATTTAGCCTTTCCCATTTCTCCAGCCTGGGAACAGGCCTGAAATCTAGGAGGAGCCGAGGTGACTGCTCCCTGAGGGACATGTTTTGGGCAGTTTTAAAGGTCCCTTATGTTGTGGGATCCTTAAAAAGGTTCCCACGGAACAGACCCTGCATCTTGATAGCCATTGCCCAACGGACAATGGCTACATTCTCATTGACTAAAAGGTTCCCACGGAACAGACCCTGCATCTTGGTGGCCATTGCCCAACGGACAACCTGTGTTGCATTCATTCTCATTGACTATGCTTAAAACGCAGATTTTTTTTTTAAAAAAAGAACATGGCTGGGGCCAGCAGGTGGAGTGGTAGTTAAGGCACTGGACACCCAGATGGCTGACGACCCTTCAAGTTCCAGACCTGGCAGCTTGAAAATCACACTGGGCCTATGTGTGTGTGCATGCCCAAAATCCCAGGAGGAGAATGGAGAAGACATTGCAACATGGCCATCCCCCTGGAGGGTGATTTCTCACTTTCCCTCTTACTGTCTCTCTTTCTCTCTGTGTCTCTCTGGAGAGCACATGCACCTGATGCCAAAAAAACTTAAAAAAAAAAAAAAAAGGAACAGGGCATTACCCATCCTCTCAAGATAATAACTGTTCATACTATAAACAATGAAAGAAAACAGAATGGTATTTTTATTTCTTCTGTTAATCTACTCATAATAAATTACAACCTAAACTTACCCAAGTACATTTACTTTGTTCTCAAGATTTTAAACTGACTTGCTATATAATATAATGAATTCTTTTTCTCTTTTCCAATTTGCTTTGTGCTTGCTGGAGACAGTAGGTGAGGGAGAGGGGAAAAACACCCCACAATAGGATATGATCATGCCACAATTCCCCCTTCTCCTTCTCTCCACCATGCTGGGATTTTGGGCACATGTGCCTGGCGTATTTTTCAATCCACTAGGGCCAGGACTCTCACCACATAGTTGATCGTGTGGGATCCAGTTCCCTCAACCATCCAGGCCACAAGCCATCCCTATAATGAATTATTGTAATCAATCACTTTGGTTAGGGGACACAACTGGCTACAGTTTAAATCCTCCAGACTCATATATCCATCTGTATATGTTCTCTGTATATCCTAGAAATCTTCCAGAAATTAGTGGAAAGGGCATATTATGGGGGGGAAAAAGACTACATGGATTCTAGAACATTTTGCAAGGTAAACTCATACTTTAATTCTGTTTTCCACCAACTTTTTGAAATCCCCTTGCATTTGATGAATATGTTTAATGTACACATACTATGAGTGGCATTAAGGGTAAATTTGTTGCTTTCAGCATTATCATTGCTAGTCTTGCATTCGTGTAAGTAACCATCATTTATTATTAACAGTTTGCTAGGTTGAACCAAAGGCTCTGTATGCATTAGCTTTTGTAAAGATGTACCAAAAAAAAAAAAAATAAAATAAGGAACAAGGCATTACCCTCCCTAGTCAGGATCTAGGCCTCTGGAGTAGAACCGCCTGAATTTTTTATTTGAGAGATATTTTTGCTATAGGGCACGTGCACTTGCCAGACAGACAGAATGCGAGAAATTATCACCTCCCCCCAAGTGAATGGCCACACCACAATCCTTTCTCCTCTGTTCTTTTCTTGGGATCTTGGACATGCATGCACACATACCTGGTATGAGTTTTAAGCCACTGGGTCTGGGACTTGAACCATGGTCTACTACATGGGAGTCCAGTGACATAACCATTATGTCATCCGCTGGTCCCAGAACTGCCTGAATTTAAGTTACAGCTCTGACACTTGTTTCCAGTGCAAACTTGAGCAAGTTGTAAAATATCACTGTACCTTAGTTGTTTTCTAATTTGCAAAATGGTTCTGGTAACAGTGTCTATACCAGAGGCATGTAGAATAGATTTTTTTCCCCTATGCATGTGTATATATCTGTGTACGTGGGTGGATGGTGCTCTAGATAGGTCTGCCTGTGTCTCCATATTTCTGCCTACCCTCCCAAATAGCTGGGATCAGAGATATATGCCACCTTGTCTGCCTTTTTCGAACAGGGTCTCTCTATGTTGCCCACAGGGCAGCAAGCTTGTGATCCTTCTGCCTTAGCCTCCCAAACAGCCAGGCCTTCAGGCACACACCATTGCACCTGGCTTTTTAAGGTGGTCTAGGAATCTCAGCAGGTCTCCCATGTGGCCTCAGCCTGCTAAGCAACACCATCCAGTGTATGCTGCAGCTAGGCCATGGAATAGATGAGCTAGGTTAATAAAATTAAAGCACTTAGGGCCAATCCCATAGCCTAATGATTAAGGGAGGAGGATCCCACACAGTCACATGCTAGTTGGAGTCCTGGCTACTTGGAAAACACTCTGGACACCATATGTGCGTACATGATGCCCCAAATCAAGACAGGATGGAGAAGTGCAGGAGGGATTGTGGTGTGACCATTATACCACCAGAGGGTGCTTGCTTGCTTGCTTGCTTGCTTGCTTTTAAATTTGCTAGAAGGCATGTGCACTTATCAGAGAGAGACAAAGACATACACACACACACACACACAGAGAGAGAGAGAGAGAGAGAGAGAGAGAGAAAATAAATGAGAAAGCACCTTCATAGAGAGAGAGAGAGAGAATAAATGAGAAAGCACCTTCACAAGGGATGGCCATACTCCAATCCCTTCTCCATTTCTCCTTTCAGGATTTTTGGCACACATGCAGATACATTTGGCATTTTCAAGCCACTGGATCTGAGACTTAAACTGCACAGTTGGCCATGTGGGATCCAGCTGCCTTAACCACCATGCTGCCAGCTCGTCCTGGGAAGTGCTTTCTCCCCAGCCCTGTCCCTCTCCTCTCTCTCTGGCAAGCACACAGGCCCTCTGGCAATTAAAAGTAAACAAATAAAGCACTTAGAGTGCTTCTCTGTGCAGCTTAAGAGATATTTTAAATTCTCACAGAAATCAATTGCAGAATTATGATCCCATTTTACACGTAGGAAACTGAGACTTAGGTTCAGCAACTTGGCCCAAGGCCACAGTAGAACTGTAGTTCGTACTTAGTCTTGTCTTAATTAAGATACTAATGCACTTAATCAAATGTTATTCTGGCTATTCTGTGCTGCTTACTTCTTAGTATAATTACACTGTAAATTTGTAATTAGAGTTTATTTGCATTCTTAAAATAATGTTGTTAAAATACAATAAAACTGGGGCCAGTAAATGTGGTGGTGAAGGTATGGGATTCCCACAAGGCTGACTGCAGTTTGAGTACAGACCTAGTAGCATGAAAATCATGCTGGGTGCATGGGCATGCATGCCCAAAATCCCAAGAGGAGAATGGAGGAGGAGGGATTGTGGTGTGGCCATACCCCCTGGAGGGTGATTTCTCACTTTCCTTTTCACTGTCTCTCTCCAGTGAGGGTGTATTTTTTATAAAAAAAAAAAAAAAAAAAAAAAAGGTAATAAATCTATTTTTTCTTTTTAGACATAATGAAAATTCTGGACTAGAAGACAAAAGATCTACCTGGTTATAATTTTTAACAAATAGTGTTTCTGATCTTATCTCTAGGTCTTTAATATTTACATGTTTTTACATATTACTGTTTATTTATTTATTTAATGTCCTTGACTGTGTGCATGAGGGAGAGGAAGAAAGCATCCCCTGACAGAGCCTGGTCATACATAACGTTCTTTTCCTACATTTCTCCATCCTGTCAGGATCCTGGGCATGCACACCTATGCCTGGCATGTTTTTCAAGCAGGTGCACCAAGATTTGAACTGCAATTGGCCATGCGGGATCTTGTTCCCTCTACACAGCGCTTAACTGCTGCACATTGGCACCTGCTGTCTAGATCTTTCTTTTTTTTTTTTCTTTCCCTCCAGTTTGCCGAAGAGCAACCAGCCCTCTAGATCTTTAAATAAAGGACTTTTATATGATGATTTTAAAAAGCTCTCAAATTCTCTCTTTTTTTTAAAGAGAGATTTTTGCTATAGAGCATGTGTACTCTCTAGAGAGACAAAGAGACAGAAAGTAAGAAATCACCCCCCATGGGGGATGGCCATGCCATGATCCTTACTCCATTCTCTTCTTGGGATTTTGGGGACCCACACACATGCACCCCATGTGAATTTTAAGCTGCTGGGTCCAGGACTCAAACCATAGTCGATTACGTGGAAGTCCAGTAAAGTAACCATTATGCCATCTGCTGGTCCTTTCCAACTCAAATTCTATGACATGATTCTAGATTAAATCTATTTTTTAGATTCTAAATTCATACTTATTTAAAACAGGAGAAATTGCATTTTTTAAAAATACAATCTCCTGTGAAGTTAGAAGTCAATTCTAAAGATTTTTGTTTTAGTTTATTTCTTCCATGAGCAAGCAGGAGAGAGAAGAGAGAGAGAAAACCCCCGAGAGGGTCCTGACTACATGGTCTACCCCAGCTTCAGCCAGCCTAGATCATGGCACACCCATGTTCTGCATTCTCAGAGAAGTCGTAGAGGAGAACCTAGAACTTCTCATGTGGGTCAGCCTGGCCCCTCAACTCTGAAGATTTTTGATAAACAGAAATATTAGATAATGAGTAATGTCCAATGTTCAATGATTCATTTTAGTATATTCTATTTTCCTATTTTAAAATAGACACATAATTAACATGGAATACTTTTCCTAATTGTTGAAAATGTGAGTAAAATAATCTTGGAATTTTTTAAGATACTTCTTTCTTCGTGAGAGAAAACTACATGTAACAGTTTCTTTCATTAAACAAGGTCTTTATTTATCTTGTAAACCTCTTGTCAGTGCACACATGCTTAGACAGGAAAGAGATTAAGTTGAGCATCTTTTCACTAATTACAGAGATTAGAAAGTGACTGCCTGAACTATTTTCCAAAGGAGAAACGTTACAAATCATTGAACACGGCAGCTCACCAGGAACATCCTATTGGTTGAGGGGTAAGTAATTCTGAAATTTACTTATCCTTAGATTGTCCTGTGAACACTCTTTGCATGTAAAATATTGCTCTCTAAAGATACCAGCTAAGAATCTAGTCAGCTTTTAGCCGAACTAGTCCATTTGTAGCACCTGCAATTTCCAGTGACCTACATCTGTGGGTGGCATCTATCTAGTTTGATGACAGTGTTGAAAAATAGGTTAGGCTAGCAATTAGGGAGCCCAGCATCTTGTGTTTATAAGTAACACCAACCCCAAGCTTTTTGAAATGGATTCTGGATTTTTTTCCTCTGAGTACATCTTGTGGCCTGTAAAAGAGAATCTTAGAAGGTCTGAACTGGAAGGGACCTTAGATTCACTACTTCACAACAAATATTCTTGTTGTACTATGCAAGCCACCTGGGGTACAAAGGAGACTAATGAGAGTCCTTCTTAGGGAGCAGGTAGTCTGCTAAAAATAATTTAATCTAGTGTCCTGATTTTATAGATGAGGCACAGCTGGGCCTGGAGCCCAGGATGCTTGGAGCCGCACACACTGTTCTTTCCACTGTAAGGTGCTTCTGTACTGCTTACCCATGGTCAGGAGGTCAGTTCTGGGGACCAACAGTTGGTGTAATGGCTATGTCTCTGGACTCCCATGTAGCCGACTGTAGTTCAAGTCCTGGACCGGTGGCTTAAACTCACGCCGGGCACATGTGCGTGCGTGCCCAAGATCCTGAGAGGAGAATGAAGGAGAAGGGATTGTGGTGTGGCCATGCCCCCTGGGGGGG